TTTGCTTATGCACCTACTTTGTTTTCAGCGATCATGTCAGAGAGGTGAGCATCACGGAATGCTAGGTTAATAGAACAGTGTTCTTGTGTTGAGGGAATACTTGAATAGAGGCCCAATGTCCATCTGTTACCTTAATACTAAACCTATAAATATATGTGCATAGATCTATTTCCCCATCGTCACATATAAATATATTTATTTATGTACATGTCTGTATTTAGACCTCTATAGATGCCCTTTGCCTCCTAGTTCTTTCCTCTATTTTTTTTTAACTTTCCTCTTGTCCCATTATCATGTTCAGCCTTCAATTGGGTTTCAGCAATTCCTCTTGGTTACATTGCCCTGGATCAAGCTCCTACACCCTCTTTCCCATTGATTTTAGATCACTTGTTTCCGAATTATTACAATTTTTGTAGTTAGAAAAAAACCTATAGATTTCTTAATATCTATGAAAAGTTTAATAAAATTTTAGACAATGGGAATAATTAGGATTTCTCAAGAGGTTATAATCTTGAGGGAGAAAGGCACTTTATAACTTAGTGGAACTCTAGAGAGTTGGAACTCAATAGAATTACTTTGCTTTTCTGTCTTGAAAGTATCCAACCTTGGGCAAGGTGCAGTGTGAACATTTTGGTATCACTTATTTTAGGGGAGAATATTTGTGTTTTCCTTTTCTGGCATGTTTCCATCTTACAGAGGGGTTCTTGCTTTCATAGGGTTTACTGTCATGTTCAGTAACATTTTTACTTGAAGGAAGTTTCCTTATAAAATTAGTATGTTTGCTCTAGTAAATTCAAATTATACAAAATATATCAAATAGCCAGAAGCATTATATTGATAAAGAATAGAAGCAAATTATACCTTTATTTTGCCTTCTTTAAACCATTGGCTCAGCTGCAGAATGCCAGGCTCAAACCTGTCCTTGTAGTTTAACACCATAAATCTTTCCCTGTAATGGGAACAAGGAGAACAGGAGGGAATGAAAGAGTTCATGAGCCAATCATTCTAGAACTCTATTATCTATTTATCCTTACACTAAATCTGATTATATGTAGCCTGAGGTGTAGTGACAGGTGTAAGTATAGTGGACTTGCAGTGTTTTGTCTGTCCAAGAGCTATAATCCATTTTAGCAACAGCGTTTTGGACTTCCTTTGTGGGTTATACCCTCTCCCCACCTGCATAAGACCTAAGGCAGGCCGGGGAGAGTCAATGCACGTAGGCCTTAGGACATGGCACTATAAGTAAAGCTGATCCTCTCTTTGCGCAGACGGCTAACCTGGGAAACTGAAGAATTAAGAGCATTGGTTCCCAAACCGATTTGACCTAATCCCCAACTTATTTGACCTACCATTCTCTTTTCAGAAGGAAAAAAATTACTCAGCGCCCCTTGGGCAATGGAAAATTTTGTATAAGTCCATCATCCAGGATAAAGTGCAGCCACCCTGGATTGTTCCAGCACTGGCTCCCCGACCCTCTTCCCACACAGGCACGGATAAGAGCGACCAGCAATCCTCTTGGTCTAGAGCAGTGGTTCTCAACCTGAGGGTCGCGAGCCCTTTGGGGGTTGATCGACCTTTCATGAGAGTCACCTAATACATCCTGCATATCAGATATTTACATTACGATTCATAACAGTAGCAAAAGTACAGTTATGAAGTAGCAACAAAAATAATTTTATGGTTGGGGGTCACCACAACAAGGAACTGTATTAAAGGGTTACGGTATTAGGAAGGTTGAGAACCACTGGGCTACAGCCTATGGAAAACCAAAGACAGCAGAGCCCAGAGGTAAGAAAAATAGGCCTGGTGCCACCATGCACGACCTGGAGCCCGACCACCAAGTCTGGACTGATGTATGTATCAGAAATACCTAAATGATGGGCACACAGTCATCAGCCTGACACTCATATCAGCTAATACAGTTCCTTTGCAGTTAAGTCAGTGTACACTGAGTTTCTCTTACACAATCAAGAGTATTCTGGCTGATGGAACAGCATCATGCTTTTCTTTTTTAAAGTTTCTGCTAAGAGCAAGTTAACCAAAACCTAAATATTAAAGTGGCTTTGGAAGGCTTCTCGAGTGGGTAATACCTTGGTTCTTGGCTTTGCACGATGAAAGAATTCATGCTGAAGTCTGTTTTGCAATCAAAGTGGGTTTTTATGAAGGACAGGTGAAGTTTCAGATTTTATAGTCTGAAAAGGATACTTGCTATTTCAGGGAAGTGTGCCAAGCCACACAGAAGCTGGAAGCTGAGCTGGGGCTCACAAATGGACATGAGCAACCTCGTGGAACAGCGCACCCACATGTGAGGAACTGAGGCCGGCATGAGTGGGGACAAGTCAGAGAGAGACCCGAGCAGGGGCGGAACAGATACATGTGGGCCCCAAGCAGGCCTGAAGCAGGTCCTGAGGGGCCATGCCCAGGTGTGGGCACCTCACCCTCCGACCTCCCTCCAAACAGGAGCAGGGTAAAGGAAACTGGCCTTTCCACAGGGAGGATATTAAAGCCCCTGGCTGGGGAGGTGTGGTTGATGGTATTTGTTGACCCGATTGGCTGGGTTAAGCCCACCTTGGTGAGGGCATGAGCCTAGGCCTAGTTTGGACCACCCAGATGTACCTCCCACTTGGCTGGGGACTTTGAGTCTGAACATGCTCAGTTAGGGGTCTTCATAGGCATCTAATGCTGGCCTGATTTCTTTACAACCTCCTCTATGGGACCTTTGCGGGCATGGGAGGGACAACCCTCTGTCCCTGCATCTGGATACCTAACAGCTTTAAAATCTACATTTTTTAGGCAAATACATAAAGACTAAAGTTTATATCTGCACTGGGCAGGAGGGAGCAATGGGGAGTTACTGCTAAGGAGTACTGAATTCCTGTTTAGGGTGATGGGTGTTAGACAGAAACTGGTCGGGCGGGCAAATGGAACAATAGCCTAGCCCCCAATGATGACCTTTCAATCTCTGACACAGGTGGCTGGCAGCTACAGATACCATTGTTACTACTTTACCGCCTTGCAAAACAGCCAAACCACAATGAAAAATTCCCCAAATGGCTTTTACCTCTGACCAGTGCTAGAAAACCCTTCCCCTCCCTCCCAGGCAGTGTAACTTCTTGGGCCCCAACTAGGGACCCGGGAACCTGGCCCTGGAGCTCTGAAATAAAACTTTAAACTATGTTCTGTCTTTGCCCTTTTTCTTTCTCTCCATCACCAAAATTACGTTTCATTTGGTGCTGAAACCCAGGAAGAGTAGAGATGTTTTGACATGCCCTGTTTGCCCTTAGGTGGGTGCTGTGCCTCTCTCTCCTCAACCTCTGCTGCCATCTGCCACGTCTTCGAGGGACTACCTAACCAAATTCTGTCTTTGCTGTTTCGGCCACAGTCCCTTACTGCGGGGTCCTTCCACCAGGAGCTCTGTCCTTTAAAACCGTGAGCTCATTTCAAGTCTCTCCATCCATTCCAAAGGACAGAGATATTCGGGGACACCTGGGTCTCTCTGTTCCTTTTTCCAAGGACCTGGGAAGCTGCTGGGCTTCTCTTCCCTCTATACCAGAAACCCAGTAGGATACTTAGGATGCCGATTCTCTAGCTCAGTCTCTCACCAAGAACCCTGTAGTATGGGAAACAAAAATTCTAAGCCTGACCCTTCCACACCACACCCTTGGGTGTCTCCTAGCTAACCTCTCAACCCTTGGCTTAACGTCAGACCTTCAGCCCAAATGCCTTGCTTTCTGCTGCAATTTGGCTTGGCCCCAATACAAATTAGACAATAGGTCCTGCTGGCCAGAAAACGGTATATTTTATTTCAACATCTTGACTGATCTCAGTAACTTTTGCCAGCAAACTGGGAAATGGCCTGAGGTCCCCTATCATATCCAAGCTTTCTTCCTTCTTCGCTCTGTCCCTCTCTCTGCACACCTGTCACCCGGCTCAGGTTCTCTCATCCAACACTCTCCTAGCCAGAAACACCCGCCAGCTCAGACAGACCCACTGCCCCCCAATCAGGTCCCTGACGTTTTCACTCACCCTTCATCTTTTTCCGAACCCCCTGACTCCTTGTCCGTGCCCCCAGTAAGGCCTCCTCCATATCCTGAACACCCCTCACTACCACCTCCCTCAGCTACCCCCTAGACTCCCAACCACCCCTCCGCTAATCCTTCCACTCCAACCCCTAAGCCCTCTCCTTTGTCTTCCCCTGTTTGTCAACACACATCACAAATATTTTGTTATAGATATTTTGTAATAAAAATGCTGTAAATGTATTATCTTCAAGTCTTATTTGAGGAAGCAAAATTATATATGAATGCCAATACACTTCATACACATCTCTGATACTTAAACCCTCTCGACACCAGGTAATAAGGGCAAAGGGACAGATCCCACCTTGTGATGTTGTTTTCTTTCCGGATGGCTTCTACATCAGGGGCCAGTGGGGGAGGATAAGGCACATCCTTGTTGTACTGGGAAATTTGACCACACAGGATGATGTGGCTGTTCTGATTCATCTGTTCAAAGAAATGAGATGTTTATACTTAACATATATGCCTTCCTAAGTTTATGGATTTCATAGCTCCATCAATGAAAGCTTCTGCCAATAAACTAATGTTGTTTTGAAAATTTACCCATTATTTATAGTGAACAGTTTTAAAATCTAAATCCACTTTAAAGCAACACGAGGTAAATACTTCTAAGAGTCTAGTAATAAGCAAAAGAATTACATTGGTTGTCTTGCTTGTTGTTGCTTTTGTTAGTAGTTGTAGGATATTTATTTAGATGTAAAGGACTATGTAATGTTAATAGGTAAGGCTGATTCTCTAGAGCACAGTTAGTAAATACAGTGAACCATCGCCACTTTGCGCTTCGACTTCCGCGGCTTCACTCTATCGCGGTTTTTGCGTAACAGCGCATGCTCTGTCATTACTGCCACTGATTGGCTCATACTGTACACGCTTGATGCCATAAATAATATAATAAATAATAAATGATAATTGTAACATCCAAAATGTTTTACTGTATTTTCCCTTTTTCGTTTAATAAATTGGGTAATACGAGTGTAATGGTGACTAAAGGGTGTTTTTTCATGTCCTCTATGCTCTAACTACGAAAATATTTGATTTACAAATAAGGAATCCTACTTCGCGGAATTTCATTTATCACGGTAGGGTCTAGAACCGATTAACCACGGTAAACGAGGGTTCACTGTATACTAGAAGAATGGCTGCAATTTACGAAAATCCATTCCCTACAGGAGCCTGGGGAGCACCAAGGTTAACATTCAGATGCTAACTGAAAGGTTGGCAGTTTGAACCTACCTTCAGCCATGCAGAACAAAGGCCTAGATCTGCTTTCATCAAGATAACAGTCTAAGAAAGCTCTTGGGGCAGTTCTACCCTGTCCTACAGGATCGCTATGCCTGGGAACGGCCTCACGGGCACAAAATGACCTGTAGTCTGGAGCCAGGGCTATGAGGTTGAGGGGGAGTAAGGACTGAGGAATCAGACCACCACTTGAACAAGACAAATGTCATTTTTCACAAAAATGAACTAGCTGAGACACCTAAGATAGCAAAGAACTGAAATGGATACAATGCAACCCTGCCAGCAAATGGGAGTTGCTCTCAAAGAAATTGTTAGGTTTGTGATTCTGGCCAGGAAGGGGTGGTCCAACTAACTACCTAGGTAGGCGGTAGACCTGGATTGGCCCATCTAAGCCAGGTGCATTTGACTCAGCCAATGGGGTCGACCACGCCTCCGGGTGGGGGTGGGAGGTGGGGGCCCCTAAAAAGCCAGAAGTCTGCTCTGGTGCTTGCTCTCCCAGCGGCTGGGCCATGATCCCATGCATTTGTGCCCCTTCTAACCTGTAAAAAACTCAGTGGAAGCACAACCAGGTTTTGGCGTGAATTCTTTCTCCAGAGAAGCCAAGGACCGAGGTATATCTCTCCCATGAGAGATCTAACAAAAAAGTCTCTTGGATTACTTAATTACAGGGCTGTTCGTTACATTATTTGTCACCTATATTTTTCCAGCTTTTTTTTCTCCAGGTAAGGGATAATCACAATTGGCAAATAGTTTCATATATATATTTTTTTCTTTACTGTGATATATATATTTATATATATCACAATAAAGAAAAATAAGGTTACAACAAATAAAATGCAGTATTTAAATTTATAAAATAAACAACCTGACGTATCACTGTGTCAGTGATGTCGCCCCCAACGTTGTCAAAGTAGACATCCACTCCAGCTGGACACAGCTCCCGTAGTTGTTCTGCCACGCTCCCCTTTTTATAATTAATTGCTCCATCAAAGCCCAGTTCTGAGGTCAAAAAGAGGCACTTCTCAGGTGTCCCGCAAATTCCCACCACTCGGGAACAGCCCAGCAAATGGCCAATCTAGGGGGAAAATGTTGAAAAGTAAATATATTATGTTAGTCTCAAAATGAGAAAATATAAGACACTGCAAATAGAGTTAAGTGTCACTCCATAATTTACATTAGATAACACTATTTTTTTTTGCTAAAAAGAATCTGATCTCAAATAACTGAGGGTGGGGAAAGGGTCTTATCTATGTACCCCCCAATTAATAGAATAAAATTAAATAACCGCTTGAGTGCTAAAATTTTTTAAAGCTATTACCATAAAGCAATGCACTTAAAAGGCCATCAAAACACTACATTTCTAAAATCCAATGAGTATTTTTCTATTTTAAGATTTTTTAAAAATATGAGTCTTTTATTTTTCAATTTAATTATTTATCTTGAGCTCATTTTAAAAAAATTCACAGTATTCCAGACAGGCATTGTATGATGCTTTTTTTTATATTGATAAGAACTACTATATCACTCATTTACCATACCAATTTTGGGTTAATAGAGAATAAAATACCAAAAACTATCTTTCACGTTTTTTACCAAGTTTAAATGTAACAACACTATTTCTGCCAGAAGTGTGTGAAAGGATTGTGTCAGATTCTATTTGTTCAGATTTCTATTTTACAGGCTTGCCAAGAGCTGGAATCGACTCAAGGGCAGGGAGTTTGGAGTTTGGCTTCTTGTGTACATATAGACCAGGGACTCAAACCTGACGACTCTTTAATAAGTCATCTGCTTAACGTTTACCTGCCCTGCCATAGACCCACAAGCGCCGGCAGCCCCACTGACAACCATTGTCTGCTTGGACCCAGCAGTTACGTGGCCTTTTTCTTGTATCCCGATCAAGGAAGTCAAACCGGGCATTCCGATCCCTCCAAGGAAGTAGGAAAGGTGCCCATCCACAAGTTTTGGGTCTACCTAAAATGAAATATTAATTAAAAAAAATAATAGTAGGAATTCCTATTTTAAACATGACAAGGACCAGCCCAATATTGTTTCTAACACAGAAAATCACTGCCTTGTTAAAAATTTGTAATTTACATATAACATAATTCAATGGGGATAAAAAAATTATTCAATGCAAAAAAAACCCCAATAAATAATGCTTCTCTGTAATACAAGCTGTAAAAGAGAATCACATGTGAAAAAGATGATTTATTCTTGTCATTGCCTCAAGTATATCCAGAGGACATTCTTAATAGGAAAACACTAAGCAAAATTGCAGTTTTTAAAATCTCTGAGCAAGTCCAAAGTAAAATTTGTCTATAAAAACCAATTCAAATGTCAGCAGTTCTCATCAATGATGTTTAAAATGTATCAACCAATTGTAAGGAAGAGGTGCTACAATTTCTTCTGATTTAATTATAAAACCAGGTATCTTTCAACTTCGTAAAGCATTTTCTGTTTATATGCTTACCCCTATGAAAAATTATACTGTTCTTATTCTTTCTATATTGCTCTCTTATCGGAAAAATTAGAGTTGAACATACAACTTTTTTTAAAACACTTTCTATTAGAGAGGTTTCATAATAACTTTTTTAAAGATTTAAAAACATTTAGTAAAACTTCAGCAAACCACTCAAAGAAATTAAAACCCACCGTCTCAGTTTGATTTACCAACTGCCAAAGAGAAGTACTGCCAACAGTTTGTGTTCAGTAATTACTAATGACTATCAGTTACATCAAGGAGCCCTTGTAGAGGGTGAGTCAGGCACTAGGCTGCTAACTGAAACTCGAAGATTCAAATCTACCAACTCAGTGGTCCTCAACCTTCCTAATGCTGGGACCTTTTAATTCAGTCCCTCACGTTGTGGTCACCCCCCAAGCATAAAACTATTTTCATTGCTACTTCATCACACTGTGATTTTGCTACTGTTATGAATCGGGTGGCCCGTGAAAGGGTCGTTCGACCCTCAAAGGGGTTGCGACCCACAGGTTGAGAACCAATGCGCTGTAGGCTTTCTGAGATGCTACAGTTTTGCAGGGCAAACAGTCCCATCTTTCTCCCTCAGAGCAGTTGGTGCAGCAGTTCTTAATTTGTGGTTCACCACCCCTTTGGGGGGGGTCAAATGACCCTTTCACAGGGGTCACCCTATTCATCACAGTAGCAAAATGACAGTGATGAAGTAGCAACGAAAAGAATGTTTTGGTTGGGGGGTCACCACCACGAGGACCTGTATTAGAGGGTCTCGGCGTGAGGACGGCTGAGATCCGCAGCCCTAGAGGGCTGCTAGGAGTCTGAAGTAACTCCACAGCAGTGGGTCTGGCTTTGGATTCAGGATCAACTAAATATGGATAAAGGTTAATAGAATTACTAAGGTCTGCAATAAACAGAAATATTTCTATAATAGTTGTTTGTAAATGTGGCAGTTACATAATCTCCTGTCAACTTGAGTGAAGGGGTGGAGTCTAGCCTGTCAATAAGGTCATAGCCAATCATGCCTCTTTGTGGGCATGGCCTCCTCCTGAGAATTCTGGGAACTCCTGTCTTCCTCCCACATATCAATTTTATCTTTTTGTGTGTGTGTGTGTGTGTGTGTGTGTTTCAAGTGGGTTTTTATAAAGGCTAGAAGTTTCGGGTGTTACAGTAAATGGACACAAGCCAGAGAGAGAGAGGAGGGGAGGGGAGGGGAGGGGAGGGGAGGGGAGGGAAGGGGAGGGGCTATCTTTTTTTTTCCAATTGTACCTAAACTGCACTTCTGGTTATAGGTTTGTCATCTTAAAAAACACTACCCCATTTACATGGCTCTTTTATCACTTACAAGCTTTGGTCACATTATTTAACTTTCACATCTACATGTGAGATAGTTATTCTTTTCATTTTGCTCACAAGGGAAGTGAGGCCCAGAGACATAATTTGCTTGGTGACACATGATTTGCATGATCTATTAATTGCATGGGGTTTCCATTTTTTTGCAGGTCCAAACCAGACAAATACTGGTAATTTTGTGTGGTTCAACTTAATAGTAGGAACTGAAATCAGGACTTCTGCCACAAGATGGAATTGAGGTTAAGTCTGACAGCTATTTCTCTGAAAAATTAAAAACATGCCATTAGAGAGGGTCTTCTCATTCTTAATGCAAAATAGTATTTAGGTATGTGTACTTCAGGTTTTACATTGCACATTTAACTAAAGAAACAAGATAAATGTGGAAAATGGCTGCTCCATTCAGTGGTAATCTAAAAACTATCCTATGCAGTTACGGCCAACAGTGGGAGAGGAATAAAGGCTTGGGAGAGCCTTTGCCCCATATGGATACCTGGCAAAAATACAATGTCTGTCTTCATTTTCCCTCGAAAGCACACAGAACTCAATGCCACATGCACAAAATTAGGGTTACAAAAGGAAAAAATGCAATACCTCACCTTTTCAAGGAGATTTCCATCCAGAATAGCCTTGGTTTGCCAGGGCCAATAGAATGAAGTCACAAAATCACCTTTAGTAAGTTTTGTGTGTTTGCTTTCTTCTATAATTCCAATGCCTCCACCATCAACCACTTGAGACAGCTGCCAGGGCGTTAGGTAATCACTGCCAGTGTCTTCATTCATTCTGCAACGCTAAGAGAATCCTGTCTGAGAATACTAAGGCAGTTGACTCATTTATATAGCGACTTTAAGAAAGGTATATTGTGGTTTGAGGTGGGGGAGGCCAGCCCCCCACCACTAATCATGGGTTCAGTAAGCACAGTTGTACGGTTGATTGATATATATATATATAAATAAAATATTATGTCTATAATATTAAAGTCATCAAGAGCATGAGAGATAAAAGAGATATTACAGTAATATCAGACACATTTCATGGAGTCAGACACATTTCATAGTAGCATGGAGAGAGGGGAAAGGGAAACAGGGGAGGAGAAGCTGGGAGAGAGGGAGAGGAGACTCTCTCTTGCTAACCCAGGTCTATATACCTTTGGGGGCGTGCAAGCCCACTAATTACAGGTAGAGAAATACATCACAGGAAGGGGTTGCACTATAGGTTATACAACAGTGAGAAGGGGTGGTCTAGGGACATACATGCAATAGGAAGAGGAGGGATTGGGGGTATACATGTGACAAGATGGACTGATCCTAGAGTCAGGATGGCAGCTGGATCTCCAAAGGAACCATTATCAGTAGGGTGTGAACCCCACCTACAGGAGCCAAGTAGATGACTGCAGGCCTGTCCACTGTCCTTAACAGCAGGGAGCGGGCCCACTGCAGTCTGGCAACTGATGGCCCTCAGGGAGGATGCCTGTAAGCATCTGACCTCCCCCCATACTATATCAAGGACAAAATTTTTTTTTCTAATTTTTCTTTAAGTTAGTTTTTAATTCTAAAAGCAAAACTCAAAAAATCAATTCCTCTTTAGCAAGTGAAAAAGTACAATTAAAAAGGAATTGAAATAGCTTCTAAAATTTGATTAGGGCCAAGGTGGTGTAGTGGTCACACACTGGGTGGCTAACCACAGGTCAGTAGTTCAAAATCACCAGCTGCTCCTTGGAAGAAAGATAAGGCTTTCTACTCCCATAAAGAGTTAACAGTCTAGGAAACCCAGAGGGGCAGTTTTACCCTGTCCTATAGGGTCTCTGTGCGTCGGAACTGACTCCATGGCAACGGGGGTGGGGCAGCGGGGGACGGATATAGTCGTAATAATTGTACAACTCTGAATATACTAAAAAATAGTTGAATTATACACTTTGAATGGGTGAATTCTTTAATATGGGAGTTAAATCTGTTAAAAATCCTATACAATCATTTAAGGAAATTTAGGTGCTATTAGATAAATCATGCTAGCACAAATTATGCAAATCACTGGATTTCAATGAATTGTTGCAAATGAAGTACACTTAAGACATTGCTGAAAGGGAGCCCTTGGAGGCCCTGTCTGGTAAGTGTGGACGGCCAACTGAAAGGTAGGCGGTTCAAACCCACCAGTTGCTCCTACGGAGAAACCACTCCCATGGAGACTATTCTAAATAGTTACTGAGTCAGGATCTAATTAATGGCAGTGGGTTTTTGGGGGGGTTTGATTGGGAGAAAGATGGGGTTTTCTACTCCTGTAAACAGTTACAGTCTCTGAAGCTCACAGGGGCTTGTCCTACAGGTTGCTATGAGTCAGCACTGGCTTGAAGGCAGTGAGTTTGTTTTTGAGAGAACCCTGTGTTGAAGAGGGTATGCGTTGGGCTGCTAACCAGCAGGTTAGCTTTCGAAAGCACCAGCCACTGCTTAGGAGAAATATGAAGCTTTTTACTCCAGTAAAGAGTTAGTTTTGGGAACCCACAGGGGCAGTTCTACCCTGTCCTGCAGGGTCGCCATGAGTCAGAATTGACTTGATGGCAGTTAGTTTGATTTTGGTTCGGCATTGCTGATGTAATCATACAACCGCCCTTTTAAAAAATTAAATTGGGAGCTCCTACAGATATTATAACCATTCATAATTCAATTAGATCAAGCTTCATTGTACAGTTACTGCCACATCATTTTCAAGACATTTTCTTTCTTCTTGAACTCTTTGGTATCAGCTCCCTTTTATTCCCATCCTATCCCCCAGGAACCCTTATTATTATATTATATATTACTATTATTATTTTTGCCATATCTTATACCATCCAGTGTTATCTATTCCCCTATAATTCTGTTATCCATTCCCCTCGAGTGGAGTTATATACTCATCATTGCTATTTGCTTCCCCCTATCCACCCCCTCTTCCCATAGCTTCAGGGAGTCATTACTCCCATCACTATTTCTGAAGGGCTTATCTATTTTGGGATTTCATGCATCAAACGACCGTAATTATACAAAATAAACATACACGGGTCTCACAGATTAATGAGGTGAAACTAAGGCCATGATAGTAGGGGGAGGAAATATTAAAGAACTAGAGGATATTTATGTAGTTCATCAGTGCTATACTGCACGCTGGATATATCATCCCTTCTGTGTGGCCCTTTTGTGAGGGACTGTCCTATTACCTTACAGGTGGGTTTTGGGTCTCCACTTTGTCTACAATCCTTTATGTCAATCTGATTGCTTGTTTTTGAATTTCTGATACCTATTCCCATCGACACCTCATGATCACACAAGCTGGTGTGCTTGATCCATGTGCTCTTTGTTGCTTCCCTGCTAGATGGCTGCTTGTTTAACTTCAAGCCTTTAAGACCCCAAATGCTCTATCTTTTAATAGCTGGGCACCATCAGCTTTCTTCACCACATTTGTTCATGCACCCGTTTTGTCTTCAGCCATCATGTAGGGAAGGTGAGTATCATATAATGCCACATCATTCGAACAAAACGTTCTTAGTGAGTTAAGATTTAAGTAGAGGCCTAAAATCCATCTGTACAGCTGCCCTTTTTTTAGCAACATATAGACAATCAATTCTTTCTTGGCTTCTGGCCTAGCAATTCTCCTTCTCCATTGCTAGGAGTCAGCACTGACTTGATGGCTGTGACTATGTATAGTGAAATAATCCAGGAGCCCTGAGGGTACAGGAGGCTACACCTGGGCTGCTAACCACAAAGTCAGCTGCTAGCAACCACCACCGGCTGCTCCTTGGAAGAAAGATGACGTCTTACTTTACATGCTTGTCAAAATCTAGTCTCAGAAACTCACAGGGGTAGTTCTACTCTACCCTAGAGGGTGGTTATAAGTTGGAATTGACTCAATGGCAGTTGAGTTTTTAAAAATAAAATTAAAAAAAGAAATTGATTCATTTTTAGACAGCACTCACCACAACTTCAGACCAATCACTCTCCCTACCTCATGTCCCCAACCCCCAGAGGACACTGTTTTTGTCCCTCTCAGACAAAGTGTCATAATGAAGTTACACTGTTATGAACGGAATTGTGTCTCTCCCCACCCCCATCCCAAATGTGTGTTGTGGTTCCTAACCTGTGTGCCTGTGTTTACAGTCCCATCAGGGAAGGGGTTATCTTTGGCACGCAGGCTTAGCGTAGGCTATGTTTTGGGAATAAACAAGCGAAAGGAAAGAGCACTGTGGGTGAGAATAGACGGAGGCTGAGGCTGAGGCTGAAGAGACCAGGACCTTTTTCCAGAGGGCACAGACAGAGAGTACCTCCCTCCTTCCCTTGAGCCGCTCGGACTGGGGGCTGCTAGTCTCCTACACTGTGAGAAAACAAGTTTCTTTTTGTTAAAGTCACCCGTTTGTGGTGTTTCTACTGAAGCAGCTCTAGCGAACTTGGACAGACTAGGGTTAAAGACTTCTCCAGGTCACAGCCAAGGCTCTTCCTGTCTGGGGCTCACTCTTCTTTCTTGAAGCTAAAATGTGGAGGCCCAGAGTGTGCCCCAGATGGAAATCTTGGAAGACTGCTTGATGAAGCCCCCCACCACCACCGCCGGGGGGGGGGGGGGGGTAGTGCAAAGGGAGTAGAGGCAGAGGTTTTTGTGGGGGCTATCCTGTGCTTCGGTGACGTCAAGACCAGTCACGATGTGGTGCCACCATCCATCACTAGTGTTTCCAAAACTTTCCCTCACTTCAAAGGGAAACGCTGTGGCTATGGAGCCATTTAATTTTTCCATTCCCCTCCTGCTCGAAGCCCCTGTAATCTCAGATCTATTTTGTTTGTATGAATCTGCCTGTTCCAGATCATTGCTATCTAGAATCATCTGTCTGTCCTTGATCGGGCGCATTTCACTTAGAGTAATGCTTTCCAGGTTCATTCGTGTGGCAGCAGGCATTCCAGTGTCATTCCTCAAGTTGTACATTGCTAAGCGAAAGAGGGCACTCTGGAAAAGCTACCTACTGTCTGACCCCAAGTACACCACTATAGTGACAGTAACGAGGTCAGCGATTGAAATTTAGGGGATGCCTGGAAGTGATGGACAAGTGAAGCACCAGACATTTTGGGGGCTAAGTAACTCATTCTGCTTGAAAATGTAATGTACACCTATGGCATCTGCCAAAACCCTTAGAAAGGTATAAGCCTCCAACTATCGTCTATAGATGATAGTCATGTATCAATATTGGTAAATTAAATGTAACAAGTATACCACCCTAAACTAAAGCAAGCTGTTAGAGCCCTGGTGGTATAGTGGTTACCTATTGGGCTGCTAAGCCACAAGGTCAGCAGTTCAAAACCACCAGCTGGTCCATGGGAGGAAGACTGGGCGTTCTACTCCCATAAAGAACCCCAGTCTCTGAACTCACAGGAGTTCTGCTGTGTCCCAGAGTCGCTGTGCGTCAGCATCAACTCCGTGGCAGTGAGTGAGTGAAAGCGGCTGCTAACAACTTGGGAGAGACTTCGGAATCGGTGGGCAGGGCTTGGCACTTCACCAGACCTGACTGGAAAACATTCAGCAGGGTCAGCAGACAGACCTGGTACTATTACAGGCTTTTCTTTTCTTCTTCTTTTTCTCATGTCCATTCTTATAAGATAGACAGGATAACCAAACCTGAGGAGAAAATACTGGAGCCGATGGCTCCAGGGAGACATGGGAGAGGAGGAGGTAGGAGAAAGGGAGGGGGAGCCAACAAACCCAGGGACAAGGGAATAATAAAAGATCTAAAATCGATGGCAAGGAGGGCGCAGAATGCCTGGTGGGGTTTGATCAAGTGCAATGTAGCTGAGAGAAAGTACTAAGAGCCGAATGAAGGTTGAACATGTTAGTGGGGCAGGAAGAAAGTGAAAAGAAATAGAGGAAGCATCTGAGGTCTTAAAGGCTTGAAGACAAACAGGCGGCCATCTAGCTAAGAAACAAAACCCATGAAGAAGAAGCACACCAGCATTCTACACGAACGCGCAAATGCGGTGAAGAAAGTTGATGGTGCCAAGCTGTCAAATTACACAGAATCTGGGGTCCCACATGCTGGAAGATAAACAAGGGGCCATCTAACTGAGAAACAACAAAGCCCACATGGAAGAAGCACAACAGCCTATAAGATGACAAGGTGGTGAAAGGGTCAGGTATCAGGCATCAAAGACCAAAAAAACAAACAAACCAAAAACATAACATTGTGAATGAGGCGCAGAGTGGGGACCCAGGGTCCATCCGGGGGAAATTGGACATCCCTTGCAGAAGGGCAGTGGGGAGGAGAGGATCAAATCAGAGTGCAGTATAGAAACGATGAAATATTCAATTTTCCTCTAGTTTTTAAATGCTTCCTCCCCCCCAATACCATGATCCCAATTCTATCTTACATTACCGGCTGGACCAGAAGATGTGCACTGGCACAGATAGGAAGTGGAAATACAGTGAACCCAGGACAGATGAACCCCCCAGGACCAGTGGAGAGAGTGGTGATAGCGGGAGGGTGGAGGGAAGGTGAGGGAGAAAGGGGGAACAGATGACAAGGTCTATATATGGCCTCCTCCCTGGGGAACGGACAGCGGAGAAGTGGGTGAGGGAGACGCTGGATGGGGTAAGATATGATAAAATAATAATAATTTATAAATTATCAGGGGTTTGGGAGGAGGGGGGAGGGGAAAAAGTGAGCTGACACCAAGGACTCAAGTGGAAAGCGGGTGTTGTGAGAATGATGAAGTCAATACATGTACTAATGTGCTGGACACAAATGATGTATGTACAGATTGTGATGAGTTGTATGAGCCCCTAATAAAATGATTGTTTAATTAAAAAAAAAAGAAATAGAGGAAAGAACTAGGAGGCAAAAGACATTTATAGAGGTATAAATATAGGCACGCACATATGTAAGTATATTAGTATATAATGATATAGTAGTATATAATGACGTAGGTCTATGTACATATATTTAAATGTTAAGTATTAAGGCAGCAAATGGGCATTGGGTCTCGACTCAAGTACTCCCTCAACACAATAACACTTTGTTCTTATAACCTGGCATTTTGTGATGCTCACCTTCCCCACATGATCACCAAAGTAAAAATGGGTGCATAAGCAAATGTGGTGAAGAAAGCTGATAGTGCCTGTCAATTAAAAGATATAGTGTATGGGGTCTTAAAGGCTTGAAGTTAAACAAGCAGCTATCTAGCGGGGAAGCAACGAAGCCCATGTGGAAGAAACACACCAGCTTGTGTGATCATGAGATGTCGACAGGATCAGGTATCAGAAGACCCAAAACAACATACATGTGAATGCAAATGATGGGGGTCAGGGTGGAGACCCAAAGCCCATTTGCAGACAATTGGACATTCACTCACAGAAGGGCCACAGGGAAGGAACGAGTTAGCCAGGGTGCAGCATAGCAAAGACGGAACACACAAGATTCCTCTAGTTCTTTAAAGCTTCCTCTACCCCACTAACATGACCCCTGTTCTACCTTACAAATCCAGCTAGACTGGAGCATGTACATTGGTACAGATAAGAGCTCTGGACACACGGAATCTAGGAGAGAGAAACTCCTCAGGAACAGTATTGAGAGTAGCAATACCATGAGGACAGGGGGAGAAAGGGGAAAAATGCGGAACTGACTACAATGATCGACATATTCACACACACACACCCCGGGTTGGGGGTGGGGGATGAACAACCGAAACGTGGGCGAAGGGAGACAGCAGATGGTATAAGATATGAAAATAAAAATAATTTATAATTTATTCAGGGTCCATGAGGGTGGGAGGGGAGGCAAAAAAGAAGAGCTGATATCAAGGGCTCAAGCAGAAATTAACTTTGTGAAAATGGTAATGGCAACATATGTACAACTGTGTTCTGATACAATTGATGTATGGATTGTTATAAGAGCTATAAGAGCCCCCAATAAAAAGATTTATTAAAAACGGGTGGTGGTGGGGGGGGTGCTTTGACCATGGACCAGGGATGTGAATAGCTTTGCTATCATGCAGAGTGCATTATAAAGTGATTGTTGCAGATGCAATTAGGTTAAAATTTGGCACCCTGTCATTTGATCTCTCATGATCTTTTAAATTTGTTTGAGTTTTTAGTATTTTTTTTTAATTAAGGTCCTTATCTGTTTTACTTTGTTATTACTCTTAGTTTGGTGGGGTTTTTTTCCTAAATGTTCTCTGTATATGAAATCCAGGATAGGTAAATCTATAGAGACAGTACCTGGATTAATAGTTCTTTGGTGGTATGGCAGGGGATGTTGGAGAGAAATGGGGAGCTAATAACGATGAGTACAAGAATGAAGAAAATGTTCTAAAACAGATTGTGGTGATTATTGTACAACTTCTTTTGATGTGACTGAATATTGAATTGTATGATATGGAATGATATGTTAATAAAACTGTTTTTAAAAATTGGGGGATAGAGGATGGGGTTGGGGAGGAAGGTATGTGGAACTATACATACTACATGCTCAACGGTTCTATACATCTAGAAGTATACTTTTTAAACAAGTCTATTAGTGATCTTTTTAGAACTGCAACATTGTTTCCTCCTGCCGTGGAGTTCAGTGGTGAAGGGTGAGGAGCGGTCCATCAGGGGCAAGCAAAGACCGGGTGAAGACGGCCTGACAAAGCACATTATATGACCACAGACAAGGAGTCTATGGTCTCACTGTCTCCCCAGGACTGTATCTTAGTACAATGTAAGTGCAATTTAAGGGACTTTGCAAGAGTAATTTGACCTGGTGGCACAGTGGGTTATGCTCACCCTGATCAGCAATTCAAACCCACCAGCCGCTCCATGAGAGAAAGATGAGGCTTTCCACCCCCATACAGATTCACAGCCACAGACACCCACAGGGGCAATGCTCCTCTGTCCTATAAGGGCTGTGAGTCCCAATCAATTCGATGGCAGGGAGTGTGTGAGTTTTTAACTGCTCTTATTCATGAACCTACACCAGTGTCAATAAAACCCTTTTCTCTACTCAGCGATGGGCAATTCTTTCACGTGTCTTGTAACGTGAGGCTAGCCACTACTATTCCTCCCACTGGACTGTCTCAAGGTCATTCCTCTCTCACCAAGGGCAGCCTTTGCTCAATCCTCCCCCAGCCACAGCTGACTCTACTCAGTAGGGGTATTTGAACTCTGAGCCGTCTATCCATAGGTTAGAGTTGTGGATAGAATAGCTCCCCACGGATGCCCACATCCAAATCCCAGGTTCTAGACCTCAGCAATCTGCTTCTGAGCCCTAATATTAATAGCAGAAGAGAAGCTGATGGACAGTGACTATAGCCATGCAATTGTCAGGGCCATGAACTGAAGTGAGGAGGGAAGAGGCAGGAAAAGACCAGACGATGCCCCGTGAGAAAGATAGAACCAGAAGGCAGCCCTTAGGGCCTCTGTCCCTGGGCCTTGGGGCTTCTCAACTACAACTTGGGCAATGACTTCCTTTCACGCAATCTCTTTTGTCTACAGAGGGTATAAGCAGTCTGTTCTCTTCAACCCAAAGTCCAACTGCAACAGAAGCCCTTGTCCTAGCCTGCTTTGTAAACTGACTGTCCTAAGAGGATTTCCCATCCTAAGTGACTATGTCAGATGTCACTTACTGAGAACTGATCAGGGCATGTGAAAGAAGCTGATGGGCCACAGCCACAATTATGTGAACACGTTGCCTTACAGCACCCCTAATCATGCCAGTTCACAGCTCTCAGGACGTAAGTGCTCAAGTATGTGTTAATCGTGAGGACTGCACGATACATTTTAAATAAGATGAAATGGAGGGAGGGGAAAAAACCAAGGAGCTGATACCAAGGGCTCAAGGAGAAAGCAGATGTTTTGAGAAGGATGAGGGAAACAAATGTACTTGACACAATGGATGGGTGTATGGATTGTGATGAGTTGTATGAACCCCTAATAAAATGATTTTTAAAATAGTAAATAAGTAAGATGAAACAATATGAGAAATAACAAAAATAAAATCATTTGTCAACTGCAGTGAAGTGAAGTTACTTGGTGTGGCTCTTCTATCCAGTCTCTGAAACTCCCACCAAATGACTGCTGTAGAGGACTCTAAGGAGGGGATTTGTCAGTTCTGCCATACCCTGGGTATAAGAAAGCCAGCTCAGAGAGAATCCCAAAATCAGTAGAAGAAAAAGTCTGGCTCGCCCCAATTTCTTACGTAGTGCAGTGACGGCAGCAGAGACCACGCAGGGGAAGCTATGGCACCAGCAGAGGCCTTGAGACACAGTGGCAGTCCCCCTAGCCCACGGAGGCTGAGTCTTTGGGCAGGAGACTGGCTTGCACAGTGGGGTTGCCCTTTCGGTCTTTTCAGTGCTAAAGGAGCTTTGTAATACTTACCCCAGCAGGCCAGGAGCCAAGCAACTGCAAGACTAAGAGGATAAGGACCAAAGAGGGAGAAAGGTGGTGCCTACTGGTATGGCTGAAAAGAGGCGCTTGCAGACAAAGGATTGTTTTCTTAATGCTGTCAGATCCTGACTTGATATAACCTGCTGAGGTCTCTAATAACCCCCCCCCCCCCACTATGAGTAGTATTGTGTGGCTATTACAATGGATAATCAGACCCAGCAGAGAAGTAGAGGGCTGTGGGAGGAACATTTGGCGTCAGAGTAGGGTAAGAAGACGAGGATGGAGGGTGGAGGCATGTCTGAGTTCCGTCTCATAGGAATCATCCTTGGGTCCTGCTTCTCCAAATGAAGGCAGGGAAGGTTAGACACTGCCTTCATGCCATTTCCTCATCAACCCAGTGACAACACTCTGGCTCTTACCATGTAAGGGTCCACAGAGAGATAGAGAGTTTTCACTTGTACTTGGCCTTCAGTGATAGGATCTGATAACTTGACTTCTTCCACGCGGAAATTCTCTGCCACCGGATTACCGTTTTTTCCTAAAAAATTAAGTAAAAATATGGAACAAAATAAACTTTCTTGTGTAAGTCTTTATTATTCTTTAAAGTTTCACTCTAGAATGTAGAGCATTCTCTTTCAAAACAGGCATGAGTAAATCTATATTATTTTGTAATTTCTCTGTAACTGTAAAAATGACTTTTGCATAAATCCTTGACATAGTTGCAACTGCTCTTGATTATTTTATTTTCCCTAAGGGGTTCCTTTGGAATATTGTTGCCAACTCCAACTTTCTTATTTAAAAAGATCA